GCCATGACTGCTCTCACCCTAGGCCTGCGCGACCAGGCATTAACTGTTCTGAAAGCTCTCGGTAAGGAAGTGACTTACGAGCAGCTCCTTGAGGCATTGGAGGCGAGATATGGCGACGCTCACCTGGAACACGTCTTTCGTGCGCAGCTCAAAGATCGCGTGCAACGCAGTAACGAAAACCTGCAGCAGTGGGTCCTTGAGGTGGAGAAGCTGGTTCGAAAAGCGTACCAGTCTGTACCTGCGCTTATTGTAGGGAACCTGGTGCAGACATTCATCGACGGCATCCGCGACCTTGAAGTCAGAGCTGCTGTGAGGCTCGGGCACCACGAGACGATTAAGGACGCCTTGACCCATGCACTGGAGGTGGAAGCCGTGCGGCAGGATCATCGTTCCCACCGCGTCAGGGAGGTTGCAGCAGCTACAGTTCAGGACCGCAATAAAAGCTACAGCCCTAGGTGCTACGGCTGTGGAGAAACGGGCCATCTTCGATCCAGCTGCCCTAAGCGAACTGTAGAAAGGGAAGGTGATCGATCTCGAGAGGGTAGTGCGGATAATAGCACCGCCCAGCAGCTGCAGGGAAACTGGCGGGTGCTGGCTGATGTTAAAAGAGCCCCAAGGATTTCGATCTCACAAACTCATGATGGGAACAGCCTAATCATCAAGGGCGAAGTCAACGGAACGCCATGTAAACTGACCATAGACACTGGAGCCTCTCGCACGGTAGTCAGTTCCCAACTTATAAGTCGGTTCCTTGGGGACTCCGCATACAACCGAGAACGCATTAATTTGGTGACAGCCACCGGTCAGCGCATACCCGTTCGTGGAGAGAAGGAGATGGAGTTGAAGCTAGGCAACATGATCTACCTGCATAATGTCATCGTGGCTGATATAATGGACGACTGCATCCTGGGCCTAGACTTTATGAGGAAGAATTGTTGTGAGATCGACGTTAAGCAAGGTGTTTTGAAATGTGGACAAGAGGAACTTTTCGTGGAAGGGGCGTTACCAGGGAATGTGTACAGCCTTAAGAAGATCTTTCCGCCGAAATCGGAAACGATTGTGCCGGTTAGACTTCCATGGAATCCTGGGCAAACTCTTCGTTGTGTACTCGTGGAAAGGGTAGACAATGACCTTCCATGGAAAGTGGCTCGAACCTTGGTCAGAACCGCCGACATCTCAGGAGTACGTGTGCTGAACCTTTGTGATCAGGAACAGATTATAGAAAAAGGCACATTGGTTGGTACTAGTGAGGAAGTGGATTGGTTGCGTCGGTGCGAATATCTATCGACTGGGACCCCCAGCAAGGATGGACAAACTAGAGTGACCACACTTTTAGAAGACTGTCGCAGCGTTCTCTCCCCGAATGAAACGGTCAATGCGAAGAAGTTGTTACTCAAGTACGCCAATGTTTTCTCGTCAAACGAAGCTGACATAGGAAAGACTGGCTTAGTTCAACACAAAATAAACACAGGACAAGAATTGCCTATTCGTCAGCGGCCAAGAAGATTGCCTGTAGCACGTGAAAAGGAAGTGGAAACCATGATTCAGGGAATGGTGAAGGATGGTGTTATTGAACCTTCATCTAGTCCATGGTGTTCACCTGTGGTGCTGGTAAAGAAGAAGGACGGCAGCATGCGGTTTTGTGTTGACTACCGCCGCCTGAACGACCTTACAAAGAAGGACAGCTATCCCTTGCCAAGGATTGATGACACGCTGGACATGCTTACAGGCGTAAAATGGTTTAGTACGCTGGATCTGAAAAGTGGCTACTGGCAGGTTGAAATTGACCCTAAGGACAAGGAGAAAACTGCATTCTCCACAGGAAAGGGCCTGTGGCAATTTAAAGTCATGCCGTTTGGATTGTGCAATGCTCCAGCAACGTTTGAAAGGTTGATGGAGCTTGTACTTACCGGGCTAATTGGAGATGCCTGTCTCGTCTATTTGGATGACATCATCGTAGGCCGTACGTTTGAGGAACACCTTCAAAACCTGGAACGCGTGCTCATGAAGATCCAGAGTGCCAACCTCAAGTTGAGTCCTAAGAAGTGCTCACTATTCAAACGGCAAGTTAGTTTTTTGGGGTATGTAGTGTCGGAAGAAGGTATCCGCACGGATCCAGAGAAAATTGCTGCTGTCAAGGAGTGGCCGGTCCCAAAAGACAAGACACAGGTTAGAGCATTTTTGGGTTTGTGCTCTTATTATCGGCGATTTGTGAAGAACTTTGCAGATATAGCCAAACCTCTGCACAAGCTAACCGAGGAGAAGCGACAATTCTGCTGAGATGAAAGTTGCGATAATGCATTCCAGGAGCTCAAGAACCGTCTGTGCAAAACACCTATTTTGGGGTACCCTGATGCGGGCAAGGAATTCATAGTTGACACAGACGCAAGTGATATAGGACTTGGCGGTGTGTTGTCTCAACGGAATGGTGATCAAGAGATTGTGATAGCGTACTTCAGCAAGTCGTTGTCAAAGCCGGAAAGGAACTATTGTGTCACAAGACGGGAATTGCTTGCTGTAGTAAGGTCCTTGCAGCACTTTAGCAAATATCTTCTAGGGCGGAAATTCCACTTACGAACTGACCATGCTGCACTCAAATGGCTATTGCAGTTCAAAAATCCGGAAGGACAAGTTGCGAGATGGATTGAACTACTGCAGGAATACGACTTTGTGATCGAACATCGCAGCGGGAAATCTCATGGCAATGCAGATGCATTGTCAAGAAGACCTTGCGCTGAAGATTGCAAGCATTGTACTAGGCAAGAGGGTAAGGAAGTGGTATCTGTGAGAATGCTCAGGACAGACCAGCTCAGCAATGAGTGGAAGGACAGCCTACAACATGCACAGCAGGAAGATTCGGACATTAAGCCGATTCTGGAATGGATGAAGGCCAGTGCTCCTAAGCCCAAGTGGAGCGACGTCTCAGCAATGAGTTCGACCACGAAAAGCTATTGGGCCCAATGGGACAGCTTGCTGATTCAGGATGGAGTCCTGTGCCGTAAATGGGAAAATGGTCGGGGAGACAGTTGTCATTTGCAAATCGTTGTCCCTAAGGCTAAAGTACCGGATGTTCTACAGCTGTACCATAGTGGTTGTTCAGGAGGCCACCTGGGAGTTAAACGAACTCTACTGAAAATCCGAGAACGGTTTTACTGGGTCCACTGTCGTGACGATGTCGAGGACTGGGTCCGCAAATGTACAAGTTGTGCGGCTGTAAAGGGACCTCAAATTCGTAGCAGAGGCGCATTGAAATTGTACAATGTTGGTGCACCATGGGAGAGGATAGCCATTGACGTTGCGGGGCCGTTTCCGGAAAGTGAAAGTGGTAACAAGTATTTCATGGTTGTGATGGATTACTTCACTAAGTGGCCAGAAGTCTTCGCCATTCCAAATCAAGAAGCTTCAACAATTGCAGATAAACTAGTTCATGAAGTCTTCTGTCGTTTTGGAGTACCTTTAGAGATTCACAGCGATCAAGGAAGGAATTTCGAGTCTCAAATATTCCAGGAAACTTGCAGAGTTATGGGTACTCATAAAACACGAACAACTTCTTACCACCCACAATCTGATGGAATGGTAGAACGATTTAATCAGACATTGGAAAGGTACCTGGCAAAAGTTGTGGAAAAACGGCAACGAGACTGGGACAGGCACATACAACCGTTTTTGTTGTCATATCGAAGCGCTGTTCACGAAAGTACGTCAGTGACGCCAGCTTTCGTAAACTTTGGGAGAGAATTACGGCTGCCTGCAGACCTGATCACCGGAATACCACCTGATGCCCCACGCAGTATAACCGATTATGCAAATGACTTGCGGAACAAAATGAATGACATTTATGAGCACGTCAGACAGACGGGCCAGCAAACGTCTGAGAAGATGAAAACACGGTATGACCGCAAAATGAACAACAAGGGGTTTGATGAAGGTTCACTAGTGTGGTTACACAATCAAGTTCGCAGCAAAGGGAAATCTCCTAAGCTTCAAGCTAAATGGGACGGACCGTACCGGATTGTGACAAGGATCAATGATCAGTGCCGTCTTTAGGATCAACGAGGCTATGGGCCAAGGTACTGGCTGGGGCCTATGTAAGGGATGGAAAATCCTTAAATTTAAACTTTATCATTTTTCAGTTTACAATAACGCAATAGGCTAAATCGTAACCCCGTCTCTTAACACCCCACATACGAGAGTTCAATAAATAAATTTTTTGAATCTAAAAAACTAATACCCCACCAATTCTAATTTAAATAAAATTGAATGAAAACCATATATTATAATCTATACAAAGAACAATACTTATATTTATTCATATACAAATATATGAAAGTGACGTCATCCGTGACATCATAGCCTATAACAGCATTGGTTAGCGAGCCACTGCATACCAAGTCTATAACTACAGCGCGATGCTGCGCCGAATCTTGTTTAATAAACAAGGGCTATCGGTTTTTCTTCGAGGAAGTGCCGTAAACTGTCCCCGCTGTATTAGATCGGACTACAATATTTCGTCGTTCCGGATCGACCTCAGTTCTCAATGGCTTCTCAAACGAACACTTGGCATTTCAACTTATTTCTTAATTCATTTTTTCTTTACAATTAACTTATTTGCTTTGTTTTAAATACCCGTAATTTTAGCCATGCATACATTTAATTTCTTACAATTTACAATTTTCGTATATTTTAATTTCTTTAAACAAACGATTAAATGTAATGTTTATAATGCCATGTAAACGTTTTCTCAATTACAATATTCAAACTAACGCGCCAAAATCTTCATTCGGATTCTTACGCATGCGCGCTCTTGCGCGCAAGCAGAAGCGCGATTGTTTTGTAAGAAACTTGTTTAAGCTTGCTTTTGTTTTTGGTGAGAAAATGAATAGTCAACGTCCGTGTTTCGACATGTGAAACAGCCAGCAGGTTCATTACCAGATTTTCACGCGATGTAGCAACAGTTAATTTAGTATTGTTTATTGAATCATTTGAAGTACATCAAAATCATGAATCGTGTTTATGAAAGTGGTGCTGCAAAAAAACGAAAAGCGAAAGAAGAACAAAAGAAAATAGACAAGTTACCAAAAATTACTGGATTTTTAAAACAAGATGACATTACTAGTAAGTAATACTATATATTATTTGAATTAAGAGTGATTAGTTCATTAATTGAGTCCTATAACCTCATTGTTGTTCGCATGTAGCAAAAGTTTTTTTATGAAAAGTCGATTTAATATCATTTTTATGAAATTAATTTATGAAACAAACCGTGCTAACAGTATGATAATAAGATCATTGCATTTTATTTATTAGGCAAAAATGATGAAACGCCAAAAGGTACCGCTGATTTACAGGAAAATGTTATTCAAAACGAATCAGTCGATTTGAATCCTTCAGAACAGTCGGAATTATCAGTAGCTACACAAGTTCTTATAAATCATAGAACAGAAGGTAAATAAAGAGTTTCAAATTGTAAATATTTAGATTCTAAAAAAGCTGAATAATTTTAAATATTTTTTTCAATTAAAAGCGATTTACAAAAATATATTTTATTTTAATAGAGGAGGCAGCATTGAGAAGCACGTCAGAAAAAATTGAAAGTTATTCGACTGATATTGCGTTATGGGGCGAAATCAACGAGAAGTTACGATTATACTGGTTGCAAAAAAATCCAGGTTTATGCAGCAATAAGGATAAAGATTTCTCAAAATCTGCACGGATTTACCAAGAAGGAGATAAACAAAAAGTGAGAACTCTAAACAAATCATTATTTCAATTGAAACTACAAAATAATGAAATAGTAGAGCGTGAGTGGTTATCGTATTCGCCATCAACTGGACGTATATATTGCTTTGTATGTCGACTTTTTTCATCTGAAAAAGATCAATTTACATTTTACGGATTTAATGATTGGAAACACCCAGAGCGAATTACGGAGCATGAGCAAAGCAAAGCTCATAAACAAACTTTAACTATTTATTCTAAACGGAGAAGAGAAACTGGTAGTTTAGAAAATGCATTAACGATTCAACAAAAAAATGAGAAAAATTATTGGATTCAAGTATTACGTCGAATAACTGACACTATAAAGTTTCTTGCTTCACGAGGTCTCGCTTTTCGAGGGGAGAACGAACGATTCGGATCTAGTCAAAATGGCAATTACTTAGGTATTTTAGAATTACTGAGCGAATATGACCCTTTCCTTAAAGAGCACATTAATACCTACGGAAATAAAGGACATGGAGTAACATCATACTTATCAGCTAATATTTGTGAGGAATTTATAGGCCTTATGGGGGAAAAAGTTCTTGCTTGCATTAAAGTGAGTTGAAGAAGGCAAAATATTATTCTTTTTCTGTGGATTCTACGCCGGACATCACTCATCTAGATCAATTAACGTTCACCGTGCGCTACGTTACCGATCAGGGGCCTATCGAACGTTTTTTAATGTTCGTTCCTATAGAAGGTCATAATGCCGAATATTTAACAGAGGTTGTAGTCAAATTTTTTAAAGATAATGATATTGATATAAATGACTGTAGAGGTCAATCTTATGACAACGCATCGAATATGTCTGGACGCTATTCAGGACTGCAAACCAGGATAAGGGAAATCAATAAGTATGCTGATTATATTCCTTGTGCCGGGCACTCGTTAAATTTAGTCGGCGTTAAGGCAGCTGAATGTGTTAATGCAGTCGTTAAGTATTTCTATATCGTACAAAATTTGTACACATTTTTATCAGGATCGACTTATAGATGGCAAAAACTATTGTCATATTTAGGAACGAAAAAAAAAGTCGTTAAATCTTTATCCGCTACTCGATGGTCAGCCCGAGCTGATGCAATCATCGCTCTTTTCACAGGTCATACAGATATTACGAAAGCTCTAGATGATTTATCAAAGGATGATACGCAGTCTAACGAGACTAGATTTGAAGCTAAGACCATTTTAAAGCAAATTACAAAATTTGAAAATGTCTTTATAACTGTGGTATGGCACGAAATCTTGACACGTATTAATGATACATCTAAAAATTTACAAAAAGAAAATATGGATTTGTATATAGCATGCAGTCTTTTAAATTCCTTAGAATTGTATTTATTGGATATCAGGGATAAATTCGATGAGTTTTTAGAAAAAGCAAAAAGCTTTACTGATATCTGCGAAAGTGAATCTACATCTGAGCCAAGAAATCGAAGAAGAAGCGTAAAACTTACTCGCTTTGAAGGAGAGAGTGAACATACACAATTTACTGGAGATGAAAAGCTCAAAATAGAGATTTTTTATCCGATAATCGATTCACTTTGTTCCAATTTGAAAACCAGAAAAACTGCTTACGAAACGGTGAATGATAACTTCAAGTTTTTTACTGCTCTACCAAACATGACATACGAAGGAATAAAAGAATGCTGCGAAAAGCTTGCCAGAAAATATGATCAAGACATTTCTGCAGAAAATTTAATATCAGAATGTTTACATTATAAACATTATCTTCGTGATACACGAAAGAACGAAGAATTATTTATTCCTGATCTATACATACATGAATTAAACTATAGATTAATTTTATTCAAGTAATTAATATATTAAAGAATCGAATTAAGTTATATTGAATTGATTTAGATTGAATTAAACTTTATTTTATTTTTGATTTTATTGTAATTTAATTTTTGGTATAGATTTGATTTTAGTTTTGTTAATTTAATTTAATTTAATTTAATTTAATTTAATTTAATTTATTTAATGTTCTCAATTACTAACCTAATATAAGTCATACTAACAACTTATGGATCTTTGATATCTGAAATAAATAATTATTATTATTATTATTATTATTATACTTGCAACTGAAGAAAGAATTTCTGACGTCTACATTCCCAAATATTGAAATAAGTCTCCGAATATTCCTTACCCTAATGATCACCAATTGTGCTGGTGAACGATCATTTTCTAGATTAAAGTTGATAAAATCCGATCATCGAAGCACAATGTCACAGTCACGATTGAATCATCTATGTTTAATGAGTATAGAATCGGACTTATTAAAATCGATTGATTTTGATGAACTCATATCTAATTTTGCTGCGAAGAAATCGAGAAAAAAAGTTTTTTAAGCTGTATATAATTACTGTTATTTTAGTGCAAAAATAAATTTTTAAACAAATTTTCTAAATCTTGTTTCTATTTTACCAAGTGTGTGATTTGATATTTTTCTTATTATGTTATAAAATTTGTTGTTGTATATCGAAAATTTTCAGAATTGTGGGGCCCCTGCCTACCTCGGGGCCTCGGGCCAGGGCCCTGCGGGCCCTGCCTTAAAGACGGCACTGTCAATGATGTAACCTACCGGATACAGAAAGGGGCCAGAGGTACTCCTAAGATTGTCCATGTGGATCGAATGGCACGTTATTATGGGGCCAATAATGCTCGGGACGAGCATGTCTTAGGAGGGGGCAGTGTTGCGCGCCACTATTAATGTCTTGTACATAGCAACACTAGTTACACTAGTGCCCTCTAGTGTCGAGGAAATGAAAGCATTGCGCGCCACTATTAATGTCTTGTACATGGCAACACTAGTTACACTAGCGCCCTCTAGTGTCGAGTAGCAGAACTAGGAGAGTCAAGATCCTTCCAGAAATTTCGGGACCGATATGTACTCGAACATTCTAGATGTTGCTACAGTAGAAGATTCTGGAAACTATCTGAGGCTCTATATAAGGCCGGTATAGACCACGGCCGGGGCAGTATTGAATTGGCGATACAAGAGAATATTTCGAAGCGAAATAACGGCGAACTGTGTTTTATTATTAGTGGATTTTAGATTGTAATTAGTGTTGCGTAATTAAAGTGTCAATTTTGGTAATTCAATCGGCAGTTTTTAATTGTCTCGAACCCCAAGCTCGTAACAATATGATAGGGTGATAAACGAGCACACCGTCCACCTGATTGTAAGTGGTTGCTGGGAAAGACATCTACAATCCACATTTATCCTCAATAAAGAATCAAAATGCATATGCTTTGTCACCGTGAGGGCTAAGATGGAATGGCTCTTTTCTAGTAAAAAGGGTCTTCGGTTCTCTACACTCACCATACGAAACATAGCAGCATTAAGCTGCCATTTTACGCTGGTATTCTGTGAGAGCGTGGTCCTTCCCCGGTCGAGCCGACCCATTCGTGCTACAACTACTTATATAGCTGCAGCATGCAGATACAATTGTTTTTAGAAATTTCAAAAATATTGAGTAACAAAACATTTTATTAGGCTAAAAATTAAACTGCATAGATGATATATCTAACATTTATTTCATTTTATTTCTAGATTAAAATTGTATAGAAACCAAACAACAATCGTAAGATGAATCAGTCTTCTTGCAGATATTTTCTTAGCAATTCCGCTACGATTTTACAAAACTTTGCTTACGAGTTACTTTAAATGTATTACATACTTAATGACTAGATATTATTTCATTCATTATATAACGTTAAATATTTTAAATAAGAAATAAATGCTATAATTATACAGAACATTCCATGAAATAAAAGAATAAAAACACAGATCTTTGATCTGACCATTTGATACAATATGAAATGGCTCTTGATTACATGAAAAGCCTTTGCAATTTTAAGACGACAGTATAGCGTTAAGATTAACGCACACCTAAACGCATCGCAGTTAGCGAATGTGCGGATGGTCTTTCCCTCTCTTTCTCTCTCTCTCTCCCACATCGTAGTTGCCGTACGCGTCGAATGAGCCGTATTGTCAGAATGGTATCCATTATTTATTTCTGTTCAGAGTGAAGGTGTGGTATAGAACTTGAGACTATAGTTGTCCGTTATTTATTCAATGACAGAAAAATGAGAGTTTTGGGATCATATAATTAACTCAAAAAGACAATGACTTGGAGACGTAGAAAACTCCATCTTCTATTGAAGTCACAGATTACCCCCTAATAATCTGTGATTGAAGTACTATGCAGAATACGTCATTACAATCGCGCCACACGCGCCGCACCGCAACTTGCGCTGTTTCCGATGACGTCATTCTTTTGCGCGAGTGCAATACCTACCGTACTTTACTGAAGTGTGGTGCGGATAATTAGGCTGCATATGATTTACTTACGAAATAAAAAAAAATCTTGCGTGCGGCTATTGGGATTCGTTTTAAGTGTGCGTTGACCCTTACTTAGTACTTTTTAATGTTTACGCACACCCAAACGAGTAAATGTTAGCTTTTTAATTGCTGAATAAGTGAATTTTTAATTTGATACTGCCTACTGTGAAATTTACAGCTTCGGCGTAATAAACCATGATCAAAACGGTCCGCGAGTACAGGAATAGACTGGATATTGTCGATTTACATTTTATATACTATACTATTACATAGAATTATACGATTGCTAAACATAATATACCCTCGTAATTAATAATATCGAATGTAAAATTTTAGAATGACTAAACGTTGGCACTGAAGATTAAAAATATCAAACGAGCTATTTACAATAGCATGGTAACAAAATTATTTGCTTACACTATATTTCTAAACATTTACAAAATTATCAAGAAATCTATAAGGATTCCTTTGGTAAATATTTAAGAACTGTTGCGTATAATACAATGCATTAGAGGCGACTTTATAGAGAGCTATACATACAAAATATATACACAAATTTAACATGTTCATAAACATTTAGACCAACGCCAATTACGATTTAATTGGGTAGTGTTTATTAAATATTTTTAACATATATTTTAAACATGTAAAGTCCTATTTATGATTGATATGGATATAGCCGCAGCTCGGTTTGATTAGTAAGTTAATCGGCAATAAGACGGCTGCCTCACACTCAAAGCCAGCATTTTATTAAGTGGCGAAGCTTGCGAAGTCACTTATTGATTTCATGATGTCTGTCCGTCTGTCCGTCTGTCCGTCTGTGCCACGATTATCTCGAGAACGGTTTCGAATTTTTAAAATTCCGTTTTCAGCAATCGATTACTGATCACCCAGGCATCTGAACCTCCTATTTTGAAACTGATTGCTCAGCGACAACCGTTAGAAACCGCTACAAAGCTGATTGCTTCGCCACTTTGCTATGCTGTTAGCTTGCTAGGTTTATTATATGTCTAAAGCTGTCATAGTTTGGTTGTTAAATTATAAAAAGACGCAAGCCCACTAGTCGTCTTTGACATTTTTTTTAATATTCTAAGCCTGCGCTTGAATACAATCCCACCTGATACTAAGTGGTGACGCTGCCGAAGACGGTGAAGCGCACTGCTTTACAAAAGCCTATTCACTCTTGCCTTGAAGACATCTACGTTGTAATTGGATGGCAAGACAGATGGCTGGCAACTTATTCCACTCCCTTGCTGTACGCATGACGAACGACGAAGAAAACCGTATGGTTCGAATGCGTGGTAAAACGATAACGAAAGGATGGAGACTGGGCGTGCGTCTGGTTGTTCGATGGTGGAAGGGAGTGGGAAGAATTAATTAAATTAACATCAATCTCTGCTTATTGCTACTTATTGTAGAGTTATCGTAACAGCAGTGGCTAAGCGTTGGCTTTCAATTTAAAAATACGCAAGGTTTCGGGTTCGTTCCCCGCGAATCCAATTAAACTGTTAATTGCAGTTATAAGTGCTGATATAGTGCATGTGGTATTGCTCGGTGGTGAAGGAAAATATCGTGAGCAAACTTGCATGTCTTGAAATTAACGCATTAGGGCAGCGCGGTGGACACTTTTTTCTTCCCTCTTAGAAATAAAAGGCCTGTGTACGGCAGTGGAACGTATATAAGACTATATACGTTCCACTGCCTATTAGACAATAAAATTAAAGGTAAAGTTATAACTTTCTAGAGATTTCTCGTCCAAGATGATGATATTCCTTGAATGCCATAGTGCCTCGGGTAGAGAGTACGGATCAAACGATGTGCAAAACAAAAAAGCGATTGAGAGATTTTCGGTTCGGAAGGTGTTTTAGTCGGCACAAGTCTGGATTTCTTGCCAAAGTGTATATAATATGTTAGTATCGCTGCGAATAGTAGATAAAGCGAAACAATTTAGACCTCTATTAGTAGAAACTAAAGACTTCTATGTACACCATTAGACCGACAATTTAGAACAAAACCCTGTCACAGCCGTGGATCTTGCGGGTGTGGGCGATTAGCTGACACGGTTAATATACCACGAAAAAAAAGTTACATACTTATCTGAAATAAACTTCAAAGTACTTAGCATAGCGTAGCATACAAAAAATGACAGCAAATTCATTAAAATCAATGTTAGATTGTCGAAAATAACGTTCGTGGTTTACAAAACAAAGAACTAGTTTTCTCGCCCACTCGCAGTCGAATAAGGGAGTTACGAAGAATTGACCGTAACTTAGTGTGCAATATATTAAGTAACGCCGCAGTGACCATAGTAAGTGTAAATATGTCTTTTCTTTAATTTTTTTCTTTTAAAAAAAAAAAGAAAAAAATTTTCTCGAAACGAATATAACTTTAATTCTTGAGAGCGTACCACGCTGTACAATAAATTTTTTTGTGATCTTTGATATTATTTATATAGGTTAATAACAAATAATACATATACATTATTGCATTACATTTCTAAAGCTCTATTAAATGTTAGCGCAAGAAATAATTTATATAGGCTGCAAATAGCCTGTTCTGATGGTCCTCGCAATAAAGCTACTTACAATGTAGGAAGTTAAACTAGTTATCTGTGATGTGGAGCTCTGCAAATTTCTGAAAAAAAAAAGAAGAGTTATTTTTAAACAAACAACAAGTTAGAAACAAAAACTGTAGTGACGGTGAAAGAGAATCCATCGCTTATTCTTCACGTGTTTGTCCTAGAAGGAGCATACGTGGTAGAGCCATGCTGCAGTTATATTGTTAGTATAGTTGTAGCACGAATGGGTCAGCTCGCCCGGTAAGGGCCACGCTCTCACAGAATACCAGCGTAAAATAGCAGCTTAAGGCTGCTGTGTTTCGTATGGTGAGTGTAGAGAACCGGAGACCCTTTTTACTGGAAACGAGGCATTCCATCTTCGTCTTCACGGGTATAACCTGTCGGAAATATCTGCGAACCTCGCTGGAATGCGCTTCCCCTCGCGC